TCTCCCACCAGAGCAGGTTGCTCAAGGCATTAGCCAACCTGGCTTTGAGCACTGCCAGGGTTGGGGCAGCCACAGCCTCCCTGGGCAACTTGTGCCAGTGTCTCACCACACTCACAGGAAAATACTAACCTAAATTTCCCTCTTTCAATTTGTGCCCACTGTCCTGGGGTCCTTTTCCTGTCACTGCAGTTCCTAACAAAGACTCCTTCTCCAGCTTCCCTGTAGCCCCTTCAGACACTGAAAAGTTGCTTTGAGGTCTCCACACAACCTTCTCTTCTCCAGGCTGAACAGCTCCAACTCCCTTAGCCTGTCCTCATGGGGGAGATGCTCCAGTTCTCTTATCAACTTCTTGGCCTCCTCTGGACTTGCTCCAACAGTTCCATGTCCTTGTTACATTGAGGACACCAGAACTGCACACAGCATTCCAGGTGGGGTCTCAGGAGAGCAGAGTAGAGGGGGAGAATCACCTCTTTTGACCTGCTACCCACGCTCCTTTGGATGCAGCTCAGGACTTGTCTTGATTGCCAGTTGTATGTAAAATTCATGTTGGAAGTTTCTGTGATACCTCAGAGAATTGCAAGTGTAGAGTCCAATATAGCTCTAAGGAATAGATCTGTACATGAAAGTAGTTGTCTGCAAAGCCTGATTAAAGTAGAGCCAGTAAAGTAAAATTCTCTAAGATTCCCCTCTTCAGAGGCCAACCCAGAAGTGTAAGTACTTGAAGCAATCACACAGTGATTGTAGTGTCCATTGTGCTCAGTGATTCCCTCTGGTGCCAGCAAAGCTGATTAATTTGATTAGAATAGACTGGGCTCACTCTGACCCCACAGTTGCAGAGCAGGGCAGGCTGCCTGCCACTTGTGAGCCTGCAGATGTCTTCCAGGGACAGCAAGCAGCTGACCTTTGTCTCGTTGTCAGGTTGCTGTGAGATTACTTACTGGCAGGAGAGGCAGAATTACTGCTGGGAAATGAGGTTAAGGTTTTGCTCTCTTAACGTAGTAGACTTTATTAAACTGAGGCTTTCCTAATTGATGCATATTCTTCTGGGGGGTGGTGAGTTAATGAAAATCTCCTGCTTGAGGAGGAAGAGCATTAGTGACAGTCTGCATGTTGGTGCTTTCAGCTCTCCCAGGAAAGCTTCCCCTGGACCTGCCCTTTCCACCCACCCATCCAACTCTACTTCGTGATCCGCAATCCCACCCAGTCACGTGGCTTTGGGATATCCAAGATCCAGATCTGGAATTACAACACAACAACTCCCAGTGTAAGTAGTCTTTTCTCAACTCTTCTGTAGATATCCTCTACCTTGCCTAGGGAAATTCAGTTTGATCTTCTTTTTAAAGCATGAAATACAAGGAGATCCAATTTTCTCTAACAAAATGGGAGCTGTGAGATGTCCCCGTCTGCTGTGAAATTTGCTTTTGTCTTAATTGTAAGGGGTAACAATGTAGTAATAATATTTTCATAGGCACAACCAACATTTTCTTTCTAAGCTATTAAAGCTCTCTAAAGACCTAATAAAAGGTTTACATATTCTGACTGTGGTGAGCAAATGAAGGTACAAAGGTAAGTACATCTTAACATTCAGGACTTTCAGTTGGTTTGTCCCAACAGAAATAAAATATGTGTTTAAATATGCATTTTCTCATGTATATAAATATAAATAGGCTGAGTGTTGTTCAATTTTGGGTTTGTCACTTTAATTAGAAGCATAAAATGGTTTGGGTTGGAAGGACCTGAAAGATCATCTAGTTGCAGCCTCCCTGCCATGGGCAGGGACAATTAAAAAGTGCACTACTGTGTGCTGTGATAAAACAAGTAATCTGCTGTTCTGAGAGAGACATATCATGGCAGATGGCAGATGGTCTCTTGTCTGTGTGTTTGAATGTCACCAGGAAAATTATTCTTGTTTGTACACTGCAATGTTAAGGAAAAAAAAAATCCCAGGTACTGGATCAAAGAGGATTTGCTGTCCTGGATTATAAATAAGAGGCTTTATCCCTCTGGTTTTGCTCTCATCCACGTTCTTATATAAGCACATATGGTAATTTATACAGAAGGAAATGGCCATGGAAGGGGCAGCTTAAACAAACTTACTGTAACATGATTTGTGTTTATTTTCCTGGAATTTGAATAGCTTTTCCCACTAAAATGTTCCATCATGATTAGAGTGTGCAACAGGGACTGCTGTTCTTGGAGGTAGTGGTTATGATGTTTTACCAAACCCACTGAATGTGATGCAGCAATGTATGTCTGTGTTTCCAGGCACTGCTTTTCTAATAACTGCAGGGAGGCAATCCCTAAAGTCCACTGGGAATATAATCCCATGGATTTTGGTGGAAGTGGTGCAGTTTACACTTCCTAAAGCAATGTCCCATTATCCTTAAGATGCAAGAATAATACGAAGCAGTTCTGCCCAATCGTGTCATTTGTCATGAGGAAATTTTGTCTGAGAAGTATAAATCCCCAAAATATAATTAGCTTACAATTTTCTAATGTAAATCCAGAGCCAGATTTCTTTGTGGATCTTTTGTACTCATTCTAAGCCCCTTCTTTCCCTCAAGACCACACACATGAGAGGTGCCCAAGTACTCCTCCCAGAAATAGGCCAAAAATTAAGTAAGGCCACTCCTTTTATACATTTGAGTTTTAGAACTCGAGTCTGGAAGGGGCAGAAATATGTCTGAGGGAAGCTGTAAAAGTCAGATTACATCATTGTCATAGGTCCTTTGATTCACTGAGTTACAAGGAAGGTCTCAGAGGATGCTTCATCTTGTCTTTATTTACTTCAGATGAGGTCTGTAAAACGGGAGGTCAGTTTTAGTCTGCAAGAAAGGAAAAAAGGTAAGCAAGGGTAGCCAGTTCTTTTCATATTTGTCTGAAATAGACATTTTGTGAGCACTTACTGCAGCCTTGAAATTGCATTGTTACTTGGTGCTATTAAAACTTTCTTGGTGAGATTCAATATGATACTGTATGTCTTCACAAAGCTGTGAGTAGAATCAATACTTTAATGCATTAGGGTCTTAGCTGTTCTCCAATTGAATAATTTTCTTCTTGGAGTGATTGCCTCTCCGTGTGTTTCTCCTGTGCATATGTTCATGTCCATTCTCTTCAGTCAGAGATATTTTCAGTGCTGGATTACCCCTGGAGTGCATTGTCTGTAAGGATGCAGAGCTTTGTTCCAACACAATTAGTTTTCTAGAAGAAACTCTTTTTCTAGCTCTTGACTTCTTTTCTGTTGCTCCTTCTTTGTCACACTTCTATGAAAAGTCAGGCAGAAGCAATTTCGGGTCCTCTGTCCAGGAGTAATTTTCAGAAAAGTGCCTCTGGCTTTGAGCTTTGTCCTTTGTGCACAAATATCCCTAAAACAGCCAGAAATATCATTCTCACTGCTTCACTGGGAGCACTGTCCCTCACTCTGTGAGGCTGAAGTGCAGCTGGGCAGGAACATCAAGAGAATCTATAGAATTACTTTCACAAAATCTTTTTTTTTTTTTCCCTTTCTGACATTGATCATACCTACTTGCTAGTTCTGACAGACACATTGTGCCATTTTAATTACCCTTCCAGGAGGAAGAAAAACCTGCCTTGGATGAAGTATTGGATATTTGTTTACAGGGTGGAATTACTCACAAGGAAGGGATTTTTTTCCACCCTCCTCATGCTCAAGGAGGGTTGAGCAGTGGTACTAGGGAAGCTAATCATGCTGTCAATCTTTCTCACCAGAACAGGTCACTAAGCAACTGGAAACTCAGAAGAGGGTTGGGAGGGAATGGAAAAGAGCAGTTCTTAGCCTTGTGCCTGCATGTGTTTGTTCTTGGAGTCTCTGAGATCTGCTCCTGTTTTTCTTCCCTAAGGCTCAGTCTTCTCAGGCTTTTGGTGCAAAAGATTTTCATTAGCTCCTTTGCTGGTTCTTCGGAGCTATCAGCTGTTATTAATGCCTGCCCCAATTCAGTCTGTGTCTCTTGTGCTAGAAATTTGACTGGTTCACCTTGGTACAATTCAGACACCTCTTTTTGCTGCCTACAATACCTATCCCAGACATTCCAAAGCATTAGGAAGTAATTTCCCACTGACTGGAATAGTAAATTTGAAGTGGCTTTTCTGAGAGAATGAACTCCACCAGCTCATTCTGTAATGTTTTCTCCTCTGCTGCTGGTGGCTGCAGTGGGATTCACTTCCAAACAAGCTGTTCTTAAGAGGTTGCTGATTTAATTTTAAAAGATGACATTGACAAACACTTTTCAAGCATACAAGTCTCTGTTTCTGTGGTCCCATGCAGTTTATATCTGTTTCCAGGTGCAGAACTAAGGGTTGAGTATTCCTAACAGCACTGGAGGTTAAGAAGTGTTGCAGTTATCCCAAATTCAGCTGTGAATGTCTCTAGCATTGAAGCAGGATGCTGACAGTCCAGACATACAGAAATGACAGATGTAACATTACTGGGACATCCTGATAGACTTTTTCTTGCCCATCATCAATTCAGGCAGTGCCATGTAGTTAGTTTTTAATCGATAGAATTATTGAAGTGTTTTAATCCCTGGTTCGATCAGTCTGGCAGTGTCCTCATTCAAGGGGAAAAAGCAGCATGTTTTATGGCCAAATGCAGCAGTACAGGCTTACAGCACTTGCTGATGCTCTGGGAGTGCCACTGGCAGCCATGCCATAATGGCCAATTAAACTGGGTTTACAGCTGTTCTCTGAGAAGTTTGGAAGGTTATCTTTCCTTATCAGGGCTGTCTTGCCCTCCCACACCTACTCCCTTCCCTCAGCTGCAGCTTTCCTGTTATGCCTCTGTCTTCTGCTTTTCCCCCTGTGTAGGTCCATGTAGCTCTTATTTTTTAGCCTCATGCATGGTACTATTTGGAAAGCAACAGAATGGAAGGTCTAAAGACTTATAAGCCATAAAGAACAGGAGCAAAGAACCAGAGCCACCTGTATGTGAAGGAGTAACTGGTTTAGGCTGTGAGCAAGGAAAATTGAAATCAGTATTCAAGGAGAGCTGCTGTCCAGGAGATGAGCAAGAGGGATGAAACTGAAACTTCTTACTTTCATGAAAAGCTTCTTAGTTTTCATGAGAATAAGGAAAGAACAGAGTGTCTTTAAAAGACTCCACGAGATGGACACGTTATTGAAAGGCAGAGAACAGAAAGGAGATGGATTGTGTCTCATCTTCTATATTTTCTTTGAAGATAATAGTATTTTTGTCAAGAGGGAGAAAAGGTTAGATCGAAATGATAAAGAGAATAGAAAGAACATTAGTTCCAACTTCAATGGAATGAAAAAGTCAGGTATTGGTGGGTGCCACAGAGAAGGAGAACAGAGATAAAGTTGTGAGTGGCAGAATTGTGTCTGAGATAAAGGCCTTCTATGCAAAAGGCTAGGTGAGTGTTGGAACAGGCTATCAAGGCAGATTACTTGAAAACTGCTAAAATCACATTTTTTTCACAATGCCATAGTATATTCTGCATTTTCAGGGAAAAGAGATGGACCAGATGATTTTTTTTTTTAACTGTCCTTTCTAGGTCTGCATTTCTATAACTCTTTGTAACTCTTTTTAGCTCTGGTGGCTTTGATCTGGGTGGTTGTTCACTGTGGAACATGTCATGAAAGTGGTGAATGTTACAGATGCCGAAGCAAAATGTGCTTTGGGAATTTATATCCTGATCAAACATAATTAAACTTAATCTGGGCTTCTTCCCTCCAGCTTTTCTAAATGCTCAAACCTTGTCAGACAAAATGGTTCGCAGTTGTGTCTAGAAGGGTTTTCAGGGTTTTTCAATCAAATTTTTAACTATTCCACAGTATTTTTTTCATTGTTTGAGTTTTAGATTCCAAAGCAGTCACAGGCATGTTCCTGACACAGGGTTTAATTGTTTCAATCTCTCTGTCGATTAAGGGTTCAAGTGGCAGAGTCCCAGAGCAGTGAAATCTGATGCTTGGAAGTGTAATTGAAATCTTCATCCTTTTATTTCGCAGGACCTTGATGTTGGAGCAAAGAAGGTGAAGGTGTATGTTGATGAGAACCTTGTGTTTGATGGTGAATTAGAGAAAGCCTCTGGAGATCTCCATGCTGACCACAGCATCACAATTGACCTCACAGATCCCAAGCAAGATATATCTGTGTATTCCTCAAGGGAAAGGAAAGAAGTAAATGAACCTGCAGTCACAGATAAGGAAACAGACCTACATTTTAAATGCTTAGAGTCAGACAGCACTTCACTAAACTGGAAATCTCTGCCAGAAGAAAATCTTCTTGAGCATAAGATGAACTCAATCAGCTTTACAAAGAAAAATTTGTCTGAGTTAGAGGATGATCTAAAAGCATTACCATCCCAAGTTTGTGTGAAAGATGCCAAAGAGAATGCAGCAGCACCAGCAGTTGAGGAACATGTTCAATCTGATGATGAACTTTCTTCGAGTGAGCAAATGGAACAGCTAGTAGGGAGAAAATTGTCTGATTCTTCAGGTGCAATTCCATCCTGGTTACAGTCATCTTCCCAAGTAACAGAGAATCATCAAGTTACTCCTGGTAGACAGAAGCCTCCCTGGCTTGCTACAGAACATACTTCAGGCTCAAGATTTCAAACACAGTCAGATAGAATCATGAAAAACCTCTCAGATCTGGCAGATGAGGATGTCAAATGTCAGAGAAATGAATTGGGAAGACCCAGTAGTAGGAATGCAAATGGAGATGAGAGATCACAAGTGCTGACCAGAAAGGATGATGATGTGGGCTTGGACATTTTGGAGCAACTTTCTGACAGAAGTTGCTGCAGCTTACAGTACCCTACAAGTGGAAGGAGAAGTGCCAGAAGTGGTAAAAAGCCAGGATTAAGCACTATAAATCTTGGTGGAGAAGATTCTGCTCTCAAAGGTAAGAGCTCACAGTAGCAACCTCAGTGCAAATGCTAACGTGTTCTCCATTTTGCAGAAGGATAGACACACAGAGGTGGGAAGGAACTTCTGGAGATTCCTGGACGTATAGAGAGGGAGATTTTAGTTCTGCTATTCATGGTATTTTCCTCATTCATAGTACAGCAATGTTCAGAGTCTCTCTCCTTGTCCTACACCTGATGGGAAACACTCTTCTGAAAAATTTACATTCTGATTTAGTGGGGTTTAATTTATTTGGAGCAGATGGAAGACTAAATTTCAGGAAATTATATTCTAAAAATTGTCAGTCCTGCAGACAGCAAATGTTTGCTAATATCAATTAAAATCTGCAAAAAGATAAAGAAGAGTGTGTCCTCAAGGCAGTGAGTAAATTTACAGAGTTTATTTGTGTAGCAGGTTTGTGTCTTTCTCGGTGAGAATACAAGCTGAATGTATTTGTTCAGAGTGTATGGAAACCTGCCCTTGTTTTCCCTTCTCAGTTCATGACTCTGCAAACCTCTCCCTCAGACGTCTTGTTTATTTATGAAGCATTCTCTAGTAAATTCAGCTGTTACCTGCTCATGCTTTTGGTTATCCTTGTCATCCTTCTCCAAACCTTTTTCAGTCTGCCTGGATCCTGTTGGAGGTGGGTGGATAATGCAGATTTGTGTAGCTGTGTTCTGCCTCTGGCAGTAGCCAACAGTGTGTTCCCAGGGAGGAGTAGGAGAACTGGGCAACTTTGGTAGTTCCTGCTCTCTCCCACCCTCTGGCAATCCATAGCTAAGAAATTTTCTGGGTGTGGGGTAATATTTTTGTGCGTAGCAACTGTAAATATCTGTAAGGTGGAATTTCTTATCCACAAGTTGTACTTTGTCTCTCATTTAACCAACTTTTTTGGATTTCCTTTGCTCAGGATATATTTTTAGTTCTCCCTTTTCAATTTCAAGCCATGTCAGTCTGATTCCTGGATTTTGGACTCTTCATATCCCTTCTTTGCACTCCGTAATTCTTCAGCATTCTGTAACATGTCTCAAATGAAGAGAGTCTGGCACAACAGGGACAGACCTAAGGAATTGGAATAAGGTGTTGCAAAACTACAAGTTGAAATTTTGGGAGTGATTTAGCATCAGAACAACTGATTTTGAATTTGGCTGTTTAAATTAAAGTAATGGTCAGAAGGGACGGGAAATACACCCAAAATCAGGAATGGCAGTTCAAATTCTCCAGCAGGTACTGCACGAATTTTTCAGACAAAGGCGAAAAAAATGATTCTTTCTAAACTGAGAATGTCTGAATTTTTCCTTCTCTGACCCTCTGTGGAGAAACCAGCAATTTCCTCAGTGTATCTGAAGTTGTACCTCAAAGGAGAGGAAGGTAGGGAAGCAGCAGTTGGAATAACTGCCACTTTCCCTTCACCCACCCCCTCACCACAGCTCGTTTGCTGCTTCACGTGTTTTGCAGTGTCTCTGTTAGATTAAAAACCTGTCAACATTATGGAAGCTGTAAATAAATCCCACCTTAGTAATTTCTGTGCAGTGGTGAAAATGGAGCAATTCAGGAGTTTTAATGTAAACTGTAAGATGAGAGTTATCCTAGTTCTGTGTGATGTGCTCTGATGTGGCTCAGAGCAGGTTATGTCCTGCGGTGCTTAAAGCTTCCAATATGTGTTCATCCCTGGGAAAATTACAGCCATCCAGCAGCTTTTGTTCCCTCTGTACTGTGCTGTGCAGGGTAAAGCCTTCTTCAAAGTGGAGCTGAGGGAGCTTTGGCAACAGGGAAACGGTTTTAAGAGTTTCCCTAAGAGTGGTGGATTTTAATTGGCACGGGGCTGGGGGAAGTGCAGTTTCCTGATGGCAGTGTGAGACAAAGGGAAGGCTGCAGTGGCTCCCATCAGTGTCACAGCACAGCTTTGGTCACTAAATGCAGTATAACACCAGCAATCAGAAATAGCACATATATACATGCTTGGCTCGAGTTAATGTAGCTGTAAAACATACAGTTTTTCTTTGACACTGAGTTTAATGTGCAATGGAAACAATGGGAGGATGCTGATAAAATTTGCAAATCACATCTCATTTGGGTTATTATGAGTTAAGATTGAAGAACTGCGCAGAAAGATGAACTTGAGGACTGGAGCAATGGAATGCAATGCCATAGTGTTGCTTGCAGGGTCACCTGGGGACTAATAGCCAAAAATTAAGTCGTAAGGTGAATTATCATCAATTGCAAATGACTGAGGAAGAGAAGGCTCATGGCTGAGTGGCTGATAGCAGATGGGACTGTGAAATGCTGGCGTGAGCAGGCGTGGTTGGAGCAGAGCACTCCCAGGATGTGTCAGCAGAGGCGTTTCAGAGAGTTAGGGAAATGCTAATGCCTCAGCACAGGCTCTGGTGAGACATCAGTTGGAAAACTGCAGCTCTGATCATCCATTTTCAGGAAAGCTGATTACAAAGTGGAACAGATACAGAAGAGAGCTTTTAGAATGATTTGGGAAATGAAGCATGTGATTGCAGCATGGCAATATGATTGCTATTTATAACTGCAGGGAGTGAAAAAGAGATTGACACAGCAGAGGGAGAAGAAAGGTGTTTTTGTCAAGGTGGTCTTGCTTCAAAATGTAGTTTACCAAAGTTTTGAGAGGAATTGTATGGTGTGTGTTGCCGTCAGAAGCAGGACAAGGAGCTGGATGAGGCCTAGTGGGGAGGTGTCCCTGCCCAGGGCAGGGTTTTGGGGCTAGATGGTCTGCAAGGTCCATTCCAGCCCCTAAAATTCTATGATTCTCAAGTGTGTGAAGAAATCGCCTTATAAATGATTGATGTTCTCTGAAATATGAATCTTTCCTTCCTGTCTGTATTTCCCTTGTGGAGTGAGGAGGAATGGCCAGGTTGGTCTCCAGCCTTTCACTCTGGAAGACAACCCTTTTCCAGGTACTTTCCCATCTGCTTCAAAATTCTGATTTTTATTTTGCATGTCCCCACTGTAAATGCTTATTTGCCATAGATAGATTAGGAACATTGCCTCTTTCCAGTGTTTCCAAAAACACAGTTAAAAGTTAGTCTTCAGCAGCCTTTTGGGAAAACATTATTTTGCATTTTACAGCAATTGGCATTTATTCTTGATAACCATTTGTTTCAGTATCCACCCAAGGACATTGTACAGAAGTCAAATCTAGCCCATGGGCCTGTAATTGTTTAGTACTCCACTTCCTTTTCTTCATTTGTTTGAAGAAAATACATAAGTGACTGCTTTATTGAAAATCTCTGTTATTATCTGTTCTTAATTGTTTCCAGATGGAAATGAAGCAGCTCCCCAGTGCAGTCACAAGGAGAGTATGCTTTGCTCCCACTGTGCTACACTAATTTGTTGTCCCCACTGCATTCCCATTAGATACTTTGTCATTAGAATCACAGAATCATAGAACTTAGGGCTTGGAATGGACCACACAGATCATCCAGTCCCAACCTCTGCCCTGGGCAGGGACACCTCCTCACTAGATCAGGTTGCTCAAGGCTCATCCAGCCTGGATTGAACACCACCAGGGTCAGGGCAGCCACCACATCCCAGGGCAACCTGTGCCAGTGTCTCACCACCCTTACAGTAAAAACCTTTTTTCTAATACCTAATCTAAACTTCCCCTCCTTCAGTTTGAACCTGTTACCCCTTGTCCTATCGTTGCAGTGGTGTTTGAGGTATGGTGAGGTGTGTTCCCAAGCACACAGTAACCTTCTGTTAGCAGATTTATCTGAGAAATTGGCTACAAATTATTAGCCATCCTATCAACACCTTTTATTCTCAATTTGGGAGATGCTCCAGTGCTCTTGGCAACTTGGTGGCCTCCTCTGGACTTGCTCCAACAGTTCCATGTCCTTCTTACATTGAGGACACCAGAACTGTGTGCAGTGTTCCACTGTCACTCCCAAGTCTTTCTCCTCACTGCTGTTTTCATTATCCTCCTTCTACATCTCACACTTGCTGAAAAGTGAGAAAAATATTTGGCCATTCCTTGCATAGAATGCAATGCTCACCTCATCCTCCTTGTTTGCTGAACCTTTTCTCACTGCTTTTCTTTGGATACATGTGGCTTGACAGGAAGCAGCAGCTTTTCTCTGTAATGCTTTACACTAACCAGTTCAGCCATTTCCAGAAATGCAGACAGATGATTTAATCTATTGTGACAGCCGCACAATAAGTATCACTGGGCAAAATCCCAGTTTCTTTAAGGGTCCAGTCAAGAATTCACAGTCTCGAACTTAGCTGCAGATTGTATTGTGGTATGTATTGTGCTCCTCAATAGTTAAAAGTGATTGTTTTCAGTGTGTCTAAATGGGGAAGGGAAACTGGGACATGTTGCCTTCCTAGTAGGGAGGCAATATAAAAGTGTTGCTGTAACAGAATATGAACAGCATAATTCTGGAAAGTCCATGTCATAGCAGTTTGCTTCCAATCCTGTTTAGACATTAAATGCCTTTGTGATGTTATTTTCAGATGAAGACTTTTCCATCAAGGACACGGCAGCCTCTAGAGCGAAGTGGCACAGTGAGCAGGAACACACTCTGCAGGAGTCCTGGAACTCCCTGGTGAAATTTAATTACTCCCATCGTGGCCGAATCTCTAACATGGATTTTCAGGGGGATATCTTAGATGAGTTTCTCCATCAACAAAAAACCAACCGGCCTGGAGAGCACCAGCAGATAAGAAAAGAAGGGCTACAAACACTACCAAAGAGGCAAGAAGAAGAGAATTCTATGGAGGCACACGATGGAAGTGATTTTAAAATTCCTGTTTTACCCTATGGGCAGCACTTAGTGATAGACATCCGAACAACGTGGGGAGACAGACATTATGTTGGTCTGAATGGAATTGAAGTTTTCAGTTCTGAAGGAGAACCTGTCCAGATTTCAAAAATAACAGCTGAGCCACCTGATATAAATATTTTACCAGCTTATGGAAATGATCCCAGGATAATAACCAACCTAATTGATGGGGTGAATCGGACACAGGATGATATGCATCTCTGGCTAGCACCATTTACCCCTGGAAAACCTCACTTCATCTTCATTGACTTTGTGAATTCCTGTCAGGTGGCTATGATTAGGATCTGGAATTATAATAAATCTCGAATCCACTCTTTCAGAGGTGTGAAAGACATTATCATGTTGTTAGATCAACAATGCATCTTTAAAGGAGAAATTGCCAAGGCTTCGGGAACATTGTCTGGAGGTATGCTATCACTTCTGATTGTGCAAACAGCACTACAAGGCAAACAAATACATTTAGCTTGTTTGTTATCACTGTCTGCTTCAAAGCAAACTGCCACTTTGTCTAGTGTTTCATTGAAAAACATAGTGCAGAGCTCACTGAGGCAATTCTGCGCCTTAATGTGGATTTTAGCAGCACATAGAGCTAATATCCATTCTTATCCATGTCTTAGCAACAGGTCTGTATTTCAGTAATATCAGATAGTTACTAGAAATGTAAAAGTTGCAGCTTTTTATTTGTTTGGAAAAGGTGATGGAGAAGCTGTTTTCCCATTTTGTCTACATTAGACACTAATTCAGTTTGAACCCAAAGTTCAAACTGAAGGAGGGAAAGTCTAGGTTGGATGTGAGAAAAAAGGTCTCACCACTCCAAGGGTGGTGAGACCCTGGCACAGGTTGCCCAGGGACGTGGTGGCTGCTCTGACCCTGGTGGTGTTCAAGGCCTTGAGCAACCTGATCTAGTGAGGAGGTGTCCCTGCCCAGGAAGGGGGTTGGGACTAGATGATCTGTAAGGTCCATTGCACCTCCTAAATTCTATGATTTTGTGATTCTATGATTCTAATTAGTTACAGGGGTAAGGACATAGGGATACCCTATGATATCCTTTACGTCACTGAAGCTTTCAGCAGCTACTGTAGGGACTTTTAGGGTGTTCAGGCACTGGAATAGATTGCCCAGGGAGGTGGTGGAGTCACCATCCCTGGAAGTGTTTAAGAGGCTTCTGGATCTGGTACTGGAAGATTTGGTTTAGGGTTTAGAGGTTCCAGTAGTGACAAGTTAATGGTTGGACTTGATGATCTTAGAGGTCTCCTCCATCCTTGATGGTTCTATGGCTCTGTGATTTTCTCTTATATGTATTTGAAATTTGACTGAGTTCTCCAGGTTTTTCTGCTGTGCAGTAGAAGTTTAAGAATGAAAGACTAGCTATATGAGTAGTCAGTATCAATTTGCCATATATTATCTTTACACTCTGCTGCAAATTAAATGCAAAGAAGGACCAAAAATAATTCTTAGTACTCTATATATTCTTTTCTGTTATTTCTCCATTTAATTCTGTGTGTTGCCTTCAGCTCCACAGCACTTTGGAGATACTATATTGTTCACTACTGATGATGATATCCTTGAAGCTATATACTCCTGTGATGAGATATATGATGGAGAAATGGAAAATGCCAACTCCTTGAGATACAAGGAAGAGCTGAAGAGACCAACAACTGCTGACAGGGAGGGAGATGAACGACCTTTTACCCAAGCAGGGTTGAGAACAGTGAACCAACAGGTAGGGGCTTCCTTGTTCAGAACTCTCTATAGATGTCTTTCTAAACATGACATAAAGTAATAGACACTCCTTTCCATGAAGTAAAACTCTAGTACAATTATCTGTCTGTTTTGAAGATGATTTTTCACCGGCTCAATAATTTCTGCAATTTTTAAATCCTGAAAGGTTCTCCAAATTTTGCTTTGCCTGGATTGTTAAAGTTTGTTGGTTTGTTATTTTTTTCTTTACCTGCTTGGCCAGAGATTTGAGAGAGTTCTTTTTTTGTTTAGGTACTCCTGACGGTTTATGAACTGTCAGTGATTTTTACCATACAGTTATGAGTAGCTGTGCTCCCTGTCACCAACCAAAGATTTTTACATATTTTGCACACAGAATATACTCATGCTTGTTTCTCCCTCCACAAATTAAATATCTTACATGAGAAGTATCTCCCCTTCTCAACCCTCCCCTTATTTTTATCCCTTTCCTGTTTTGACTAGCGTCTCACAGGTTTCAGTGCATTTTGCAGCACAAAAATGCCTCTACTATTCCATACAGTAGGTATTTTACTGCTTGGAGGAAGGCTGTATTTTCAGGCACTCAAGTCTTGCTGTATACCATTCCAGCCCAACAATCTGGGCAAAGAGCCTGCAAGATTTTCTGCTCAAGATGGTGTGGGGCAGTGTATGACCTGGTTTCCATCAAATCTTCTATCTTAGAATCTTCATGAGCACCTACTGCTGCCTCAGTAAGGTTATCTTTTTCTAGGGGACATACTCTTACTTGTGAGCCTGTGAGGAGATCCAAAGCAGAATCAATCCAAATTCCAGCTGGTTGCCAAACCTTCCGGTTCTGTCTTGTCCTCTTTTTCTTGTGGCTTACAGGGCAAAGGGAAATACAATGACAATGGAATTTGATCTCACTCTTTAAGATCATGAGTCAGTGACCCTAACCCTTGGACTTCTCCAGTAATTTTGGTCCCATCTTCACTTGTGGTTATCTTCAACTGTTCAGATATCTTATGCAGTGCAAGATTTCATGGGCACAAATTGAAGTTCATCTTTTTTAGTCTTGATCACTTGCTTATTGTGAGCATTACCAGAAGCCTGGCCCTGGTCTCTCTGGTCCTTTCTTAGAGCCTCTGCCTTTTATTTTGCCATTCAGCTGTAATGCCTTTCCTAGCCCTGTTCTACCTCTGAAACCTGCTCTATCAGCATTGGAATAACAAAAGCTATTGTGACTGAGCCATCTATCTCCCTGTCATTGTGTATTTGCTGGTACCATCGAGATTTTTGTAGAAGGATGCTTATGCTACCAGAATGATACAGATCTACTGGACAATTTGTCTTCCCCACCATAACATTGTCAGACCAGTATTGGGTTTGAACAGTCTCAACTGTTCATCATTCACCCTTATTCCCTGTTGCATGTTCAGTAGATGAAACAATGTTTTACTGCATTGACTACAAACTTTTCAAAGGCTCTTACAGCAGTGTCTTACTTTCATGTCAATATGATCTATGGTCATCTGTCTGTCCCATGAATTCAGCAATCCTTAACATGTCAACTTTTATAGCAATCAGACCTGTAACTGGTGCACTTGATTCAACCCTGGGGCAAACAGTGGGTGCTTGGGGAGAATGTAAGAATAGAGCACACATAAAGAGATGTTTCTCTGAAATGCTCATCCAGCCCTTAGAAATTCTTCTCACCAGGATTTTCTTACTTAACCTTTGTGTTTAGTGTCCTGCCACAGATTTTTATTGCATTCATTCATCCACAGGCTTTTTGAACCCATGTGCACTCCTAAAATTTACAATGCTCTGTGGTAAGTTTCCCACCTGAACTTTCATGGCACAAAGAGCCTCTTTCTGTTTGTCTCTTAGGTTCATTTAATGTGCTCCAGTTTTTTGTGCTGGAAGAAACTAAACAATTATTCCCCATTCCCTTCTTCAAGCCACTCGAGATTTATGGTCCTGTGTTACAGTCTTCTAAATGGTTAATCCTACTTCAGCTGTTCCTCACAGGGAAGGTGCTGGTCTTGTGCAGGACCATAGTAATACTTTCTGCTTTTTATTGCTTTTCCAATAACTCCTGTACTATGGTGGTGTTCTGTTTTAGCCATAAGAATCTAAGAACACAGGCAGGACAATGTTCACAAGCAGAAATAGTTGAAATAGTGGAAAATGGGCCCAGAAAGCCAATGAAGTACTGGGCTGCATCCACAGGAGTGTGGGCAGCAGGTCAAAAGAGGTGATTCTTCCCCTCAGCTCTGGTGAGACCCACCTGGAATACTGCACAGTTCTGGTGTCCTCAGTGTAAGAAGGACATGGAACTGTTGGAGCATGTCCAGAGGAGGCCACCAAGTTGATTAGAGGGATGGAACATCTCTCCTATGAGGAAAGGCTGAGAGAATTGACATCAATCAGCCCGAGGTTGTGTGGAGACCTCAGAGCAACTCTGTGTTAGGAACTGCAGTGACAGGACAAGGGGTAATGGGTTCAAACTGAAGGAGGGGAAGTCTAGGTTGGATGTGAGAAAAAAGGTTTTCCCTGTGAGGGTGGTGAGACACTGGCACAGGTTGCCCAGGGATGTGGTGGCTGCCCTGACTCTGGCAGTGTTCAAGGCCAGGCTGGATGAGCCTTGAGCAACCTGATCTAGTGAGGAGGTGTCCCTGCCCGGGGCAGGGGTTGGGACTGGATGACTTGTAAGGTCCATTGAAACCCTAAATTCTATGATTCTGTGTTATCTGAAAGAAAAGATAGTGGGCACCAGTGGAATGAAGGGACCTGGCTTGACAAGAAAGGGACAAAAGACGTGGCGATGTGTCTTGGCACAAGTGGTTTATGGTCTGCAAGGGAGGGCATTAATTTACTGTCTATTAACCCAGTAACTTTATTATGTCCATGGGTTTTGATTTTCAGTAAAGTTTCAAATTATAATTCTCAGGCTGATTTTTTTTTCCAAGTTGTTCTGATGTAGAGGCATCAGACATCAAAGCTGGAGTCACTGTTTAGCAAGAGAGGTACCCCCACTAGGAGGGGTTTTCCTCCTTCTCTGAGTTCCTTGTGTGTGTTTATTTCAGTGCCTACTTCTTGTTCAGTTTCATCTGAATTTCCTTAGTTACCACAGGGACATTTGCTGCCACAGGAAGGATATTGCAGTCTGGGAACACACATCATCCTGGATGTCACTGGTTACGCTGCAGAGATCCAGGGTAATAGCAGAAGATAAGTAGGTCCATTTGATGTATTTGGGATGACAGGAAGTTTACTTGTAATGATGAATTAAACTGTAGGGAGGGAGTCTGGACTTCTAATTTCCTGCTTAACTTTTTGACTACTAATGAGGATTGAGCTGATGTTTTTATAGAACTGCTTATGAAAATGCCAAGTTTTCATATTAATCTGCTGTTATTTATTTTGGAGACCAGTATTGGTATATATAAAGTTAGGATTGTTTTCCTCAAGTGTAGCATTTTTACATTTCCCCCCAGTGAAAAGAATTAGTCATTTTATCACACTCACTCAATGAAATGAACTCTATCTACAACCCTTTGCCATTTTCTTTGCCTTTACTACCCTGTTTGCCCCAGTATGATCAGCAAATTTTGTCATCTGTTCATTCACTTTCTGGTTTGCTATGCTGAATAGCACAGGCTATTTTTAATTAGTATTGTCAGAGAAGAAGCACAAGCATTTGGACAAGCTTTCTAGTTTGTTCTGCCTCTTAATTATTGAGAAGAAATTGTGGTGGCACTCTCTGGTCTTGACTTCCTTCCAGACTTCTTGCGTCTGCAAAATAGTCACAACATTTTGCAAATAGAGCACATCATCATTTACTCATGGCAATAGAGTGACTTAGGAATTTCAGCCTCTGGAAATAGGAAGCTCACACTGCATGCAGAGTCTCCCATTTAACATTTCTATGTGCACTAACCAAAAAAAACCCTTTAATAGTCTCAACTTTCTAAGGATCCATCTGATCTTCTACATTTTGGGGCATGTTTTCCATTACTTGCAGGACAGCCTGGGCAGAGAGGCAAAGGGGAGATTGATTCACAATTGCAGTGGGTCCAGTGGAGGTGGATGGTTGATGAAGGGACTGGAGCATCTTATGAGGAAAGACTGAGGGAGTTGGATCTGTTCAGTCTTGAGAAAAGATGACTAAGAGGGACCTCATCAATGTCTCTAAGTATCTGAAGGAGGGTGCCAAGAAGATGGATCAGGCTCTGCTTCCTGGTGCCAAGCAATGAGACAAGAAGCAATGGGCAGAAACTGATGCACAGGAAGTTTCACCTGAATATGAGAAAGAACTTTTCCGGTGCAGTGGCCAAGCACTGGAACAGGCTGCCCAGAGAGGTCATGAATTCTCCCTCACTGGAGATATTCCAGAACTGTCTGGACACAATTCTGTGCCATGTGCTCTGCTTGAGTATGGAGGTGGGACCAGATGACCCACTGTGGTCCCTTCCAGCCTAACTGTGATGCAAAAGGCTGGATGTACTGAAAACCCAAGAAAGACACAAATCCCTCACTTTACAGTGTCTGTAATGTATGTGTAATATTGCACCTGTTGACTTTCTCTTTAGGTTCAAGAGCCAGACCCTTCCTATGAATGTATACCTAAGGAAACAGGAATATTTACTGGAAAATGTAAGTTTTTACATTTACTTCTTTCTCAACCACCCTTCCCTCAGCATGTTATCAAGGAGGATCTGATTTGTCAGAGCTGTGACAGATGCCAGGTCTAGAATAAAGAGGAGTAATTGAATATTTAAGGCAGAAGCTTTGTTTTCTATGGCATTTACATCATTACACTGTAGCAGTTGGCTTTTAATCTCAGAAAAATAACATTAGCCATTTGCCTAGTCCCTGAATGGGATTTATAATAGCTGTGTCCCTTACTCAGTAATTCTCTCCCAATCCTATGTATTTACATAAACTGACTGAATGTTTCAGATTGGATTGACAATAGAAACCCTACAGTAAATTTAGATCAGAATGTTATATCCATGTTTAAAGTACCTCATTTCTTTATCCTGTACAAAACCAACTCTCTGTGGGTCTTTAAATAGTTCCTGATCCTTTGACAAGAATTCCCAGTGGGGTATTAGGAAATCTTTTTCACTCAAGGGCAATCAAACACTGGGATAGGGATTGAGAGGCGGTTTGAAATCTGCCAGTCCTGGAAACGTGCAAAGTTCCTTTGGATAAGCTCCTGAGGCAGCTGATCTAATGGCTATTCTCTGAGCTTGGAGTCAGATTAGACACCTCCAGAGATCCTTCCCCCTGCATCATCCTCAAATTCTAGGGAAGGCATTTGCAGGGTGAATAAATACTAAAGCCTGTGTGGATAGCTGCTTCACCTTATCTTTTCCATTTGAAAATGTAGCCACAGCTCCAGATTTGCCAGCTAACAGAACTGTTCATTTCTTTGTGTCCTTACAAAGGCTAATGGCATGTTACACCCAAGGGAATTTCTGGGAATATCAAGAGCTGTTGTGGCTATTTAGAGGTGATTGGGCTGGGTGGCCTAATAGCTTTAATGCTGGTTTGTTTTGCAGGGCACTTTAAACACTGTCCAACCTGATTATTTGTGGACTTCTGTAGTGTGTAAAATGAAAGATATTCTTAATTTACAGTGATGGATTTTTATGGAACCTGATCATACTGGAATATTGCTTGTTCAATCTGTATGTGTTATTTCTGTGTTTTCAGTAAGGCATAAAACAGGTGGATCTAAAGATACTTGTACAACCTTTTGCTTGCCCAGTTTCTTTCTCATTTTTTTCCAGAGATACAGGCTAATCAATAGTGCTGCTTTTAACTGATGCTGTCCCATTAAGATACTTCCATGTGTCCAGTCCTGATGTGAAGATAGTAATTCAAAAACATTAGTCAACTGAATTTGTTCTTTGCTCTAACTATGAGTTGGTGTTATATAACAATTCAGGGATTTATGAGGGGCTGGATTTATGTGAGACTGTGTAGTCATTTAGCTGCAGAAAGATGATGGACAGGCTTCAGACTAATCAGTCTTCTCTGTGTCTGCATAATGACAAAATCTGTCACATAACTGCTTAAATGTGTCACTGAATTGCTGTCAGTCTGCAATCACAGCAAGGAGACACTTGATACTGTGCTTGATCAGGAGCTGTGCAGTCACAAGTGAAAGAGGAGTTGGTAGTCCACTAAAGGAGTCTCACTGAGGTTTACAGGAGATGCTGTTACACAGGGGTAGACACACAGGCCCCAAGGGAGTATCCAAATACAGCCTAAAAAAGTTATTTAATCTGTACAAAACATGCATACTGCTGATCATTGGGGCTTCCGTGCTTCTATGGGCTCCTTAATTCAAGCTAGTAAGTATACAGATGTAGCAAATTTTCAACATCTGAAGGGCCTACAAGAAGCCAGAGAGAGACTGTATGTTAGGAACTGCAGTGATAGGACAAGGGGTAATGGGTTCAAACTGAAGGAGGGGAAGTCTAGGTTGGATGTGAGAAAAAAGCTTTTTACTGGGAGGGTGGTAAGACACTGGCACAGGTTGCCCAGGGATGTGGTGGCTGCCCCAACCCTGGTGGTGTTCAATCCAGGCTGGATGAACCTTGAGCAGCCTGATCTAGTGAGGAGGTGTCCCTGCCCAGGGCAGGGATTGGGACTAGGTGATCTGTGTGGTCCATTCCAAGCCCTAAATTCTATGATTCCATGATATTATGTGCATATTCTTTGATACAGGCCTGCAACTGAATTTTACCATGACTTGGGGAGACTCTCATTACCTTGGACTGACAGGACTTGAGGTGATAGGAAAGAATGGCCACGCATTAAAAATAAGTACCAAACAGATTTCTGCTTCACCTCAAGACTTAAATGAGCTTCCAGAGCATTCAGGAGATTGCAGAACATTAGAAAAGTAAGTAATGAAAGACTTGGATGCATTTTACATCAGATTTTATAAAGTGACAGGATTATATAAGCTTCTATTTTGTTAACACATGTTAATGCGAACGTGATTTTCCTCCCATCACTGCTCATTCTTGGAATTCACAAGCTGTCCAGGAACAGCTTGTTGTAGAAACATGAATGAGATGTTTCCAAAAGATGGTGTTTGAGTTAGGAGATGGTAACATGCCTGCTTGGTGTTTCTGCCAAGGACTTTCCAGGAAGAAATGTGGGTGTTCTGTAGCATCTGTCAGTGCAGGTTCTGTGATATTTTTACAGGATTTCTGGAAAACTTCAAGGAAAATTTCCAAGTTAGCAAAGGGTGAGGATGTATGGGAGAACTGCACAAATAGGTGGTGTTCTTCTGGCAATTTTGCAGCTCTTTTTTTTTTTTGCTAATTCTAGTGAAGTTTTAGTCACTGACAACTCTATTTCCTCAAAGAAACTTGTCCTAAGTGGTAGCAGTATAGAAATCATAAGCTTTAGATGTGGGGAGGATTTGGCATTTGGCTGTTACTGAAGCTGTTGTTTCTGAGTCATACATCCATTTAGAGCTATGTTCAGTTGTGATCCTGTCCATTGGCATATTTATGGTCTGTGATTAGGTTTATGAACTGAGACTTCTCTTTTCAAAATCTCTGTAGAGTCTTCCTTAGAACGTTGTGTTTACCTACACATACTCTACCTCCATTCTAACTTCTGCTAATCTGACCAGTATAGATAAGCCAAGTGGTATATAACTGTGTTTCTTCTGCCTGTTTGTGTGAAGATCTCTTCTGTAGGCATCATGATCTAAGAAATCTTCCCATGACATCCCCTGTGATGAAGAGATTCTTGTGATGGAGTCTTTCCATACTCCACCATGATGGATCCAGGGGCAAAGAATTCATTTAGCTTTTCTGTTGGTGCCTTCTTTTCTCTGAATGCTCCTTTTGCAGCCTAGTCATCCGTTGTTCCTACAGAATTTCTGGCAAGCTTTCTGCTCCTGATGTATTTGAGGAATTTTATTTATGGTACCTTTTGCTTGCTAACCTTCATACTCTTTTTTTGGCCTGTGCACAGAGATTTAACCTTCCAGAGTTTACGATTCTATCAGTTTAGGGTTTTGTTGATCATTTATTTTGTTGAAAGATGGCTCATAATAACTTTGTTTATCCTGCAACTGAGCCAAGCTGGCTTTGAGTTTTTAAGTCCTCTCTCTGAGTAAGTGGGACACATTTTAAATTATTATTTTTTTATTTTTCTGGGGTGGTTTTTTTACATACCTCATTGCTTTGCTTAAGAACTTTTTTGGGCACAAAAGCTAGAGGCTTTTCTAGCTTTAGATATTTCTGCAAGCATGTTGAATTTGAGTACACTACAGTGCTCTTCAACTGTAGCATTTTGAATAGGTCCTGTGTACTATTCAGGCCCAAGTCAAGAATTATGTCTTCTCACATGGACTCCCTAATCAGTTCCTCTGTGAAAGAGTCATTATTCCAATCTTCTTCTCGAAGGAACTGCCAAGTCTGGCACTCATTCTTCCATTAAACTTTTAAATAAAGAATAAGTCCATAGGGCAGTGTACCAAAGTAATTACAGCGGGCAGTTAATTCATATTCTGCTTTGCTCCATCTTTGTATGCCATAGCTTGTGGTAGTGGAATATGGAAAATGAGGAAATAACAGAATTAACTTTGTCTAATCAGCTGAAGTCTGTGTTGTTATGAAGAGACATTGTCCTGCTGGTAGGAAGCTTTTGAGAGCCTAGGGCTGTGCCTAACTGTGCATGCAGAAGGCTGTGAAGAAGCTCTGGTGTTCCAGCTGCCATCCAGCTCCTCGGATTCAGTGCAGTTTCGTTGGCATAGTAACACTCTGCAGTGCCAGAGAGACTAGTTTGGGCATGGAACTGTATTAATAAATTATGTTGTGTTTGGGCCTTAGCCACTTGCCTTCAGCCACTTTGGTACAGAGGTAGTTGAGCTTTCCTCTGCCCACCTCTGTTCACACAGGGGAAACCTAAGGATTTTTTCCTCAAACAGACCCAACTGAAGAAAATACTGTTTTTTCCTCCTCCCACTGTCTTTAATTCCATAATTGCACGCTATTTTTGATGTTTACTGTGCTTTTTAGTTGTGTGCCTGTGGGCAGAAGAAGCCCTGGAAGCTGAAAGTGGCACCTAGGCAAAAATGAACACCTAAGTAAAGAATCTGCTTTTCATGAGGGAAGTCAGCTCTTCCCTTTGTGCAGCTAATGGTTTTTTCTCTTTGTAGGTTAATAGATGGGACTAATATCACAGTAGAGGGTGACCATATGTGGCTCATTCCCTTCTCTTTTGGAGAAGATCATCTGCTCACAATCCATTTTGATAAAATTGAAAGTATTGCTGGGCTTCGCTTTTGGAACTATAATAAATCTCCAGAGGATACCTACAGAGGGGTAAGTAAAAGAAAAGGAGCACTGCCAGCAAAAATATACAGCAGTGCATTGGAAAATTGGTACTATGATGAATGAATATAGCTGCCTTAATGGAACTCCATAAATCTTTCTAGATTGTCTGAGTCTGAATTTTGTGGCAGGTGTAATGCATTCTTGTCTCCACAAACAGCACATATTGAAAAAAAGCCAGAGATAGTTTAGAGAAATCTTCACAACTGATTTTTCTAAGAGACACATACAATAGCACATAATATTCTCAGGATATATGGTTCTGAAGAGTTATCCTCTCAATATTTGGTATTTAGGCCTACTGTATGATTCTACTTTTCCTGGAACATGGGGAAGGATGTAACAGGGAAACTTTGCCAGCAGAAGTTCTGTCTCAGAGGGACAGTCATCCAGTACTGCCATTTCCAAGAAGCAAGAAGAGTCTCTTGAACTCTTAACATCTATTAGGGAAAGTTGATGTCTTCAAGCAGTTTGGCTAAAATCATAGAATCATAGAACCATCAAGGTTGGAGGAGACCTCTAAGGTCATTGAGTCCAGCCGTTAACCTGGCACTGCTGGAACCCCTAAACCATATCCTCCAGCACCAGACTGAGATGCCTCTAAAACATTTCCAGGGATGGTGACTCCATCACCTCCCTGGGCAATATTCCAGTGCCTGAACACCCTAACAGTGACAAAATTTTTCCTAACATCAAACCTTACTCTCCTCTATCTCAGCTCAAGGCCATTCCCTCTAGTCCTCTCCCTGCAGCCATGGCAGGACAGACCATCCCTCACCTCTCTCCAACCCCCGTCAGGTAGTTGTAGAGAGCCATGAGGTCACCCCTGAGCCTCTTCTCAAGACTAGCTACTAGTTCAGCGAAAATTGTGTAACATACCTCTTCTCTTCTTTTTCCCAAATCCTTGGTTTATACCATTTTTCTTTCATACAGAATTATTGGCATTAACTGGCAATTGACACCTGTTGGAGATAACTTTCCACCTTGCTGCCATTCTGAGTTTGGCTGTCCCTCCTTTTCCTGCTGCACATGCACTTTTAATGGTAGTGAACCAGTAGTTGTTATTCACTGCACAGAAATTTTATGAATCCATTTGTTTCCAGATCTTCCCCTTTACACGGAACAGTTATAATCTTGATGTCCAAATTCAGTGACTAGATAAGAAGAAAAATGCTGGTATGTATTAAACTAGAGAGAGACAGGACAAAAAGGAACAACAAAGTTCTGGAAAAAGATTCTAGAATTGAAGCTGGAGGCCTGGATTTTTCATAGCATTGGGCAGGATCGTGTCAAAGTTGCATAACTGCTTCTTTATGTAAATTTACCTTCCAGGAATGGCTTTTGTATGAACACTACCTGACAGCTTTTAATATCAGCATGGGGGCTGTTGAGTGCCAAAGAATTCCAGAGTGCCAGAGCATAAGGTCTTCCAATTAAATCACGATTGATCTATACGTTGTAACATATGGCACCTGATTATGTGGTACACTGCATTAACCCAGCAGGTTTGACACGTGGAGGGTTACAGAGCATTTTGGGCTTACCATCCAAATATCCCCCTGCATAAATTAGGGCTTTTAGTAAAACCTGGGTCCTGGTTTCAACTGGGATACAGTTAATTTTTGCCCTAGCAGCTGGTACAGTACTGTGGTTTGGATATAGGATGAGAATAATGTTGATAACACACTAATGTTTTATTAGTAGCTGAGCAGTGCTTGTTAAATCTCTGAAACCTAACATGGAATTTGGCCTTTGCATGCCAAACCAAGAGGAAAAAAAATGAAGAAAGGTGTATTTTCAGCAGTTTATTTGGCTAAGTAGGAAAAAGAAGTGTGTGACACAGGTGTGCCACCTGCAAGCATGCTTTAAGTCCCAGAACAGTTAGTGGGGATGATTTAAAGGAGGAGCCCATGCCTGCAGTGCTGTGAAATGCTAAACAGATTCTTTGGGAAGCTGAAGATGCAAAGTATCTGCTAGGCCACAGTAAAGAGGCTTTTAACTGTAAACCTGGGGCATCCTGACATCTGTCTCTTGAAGTATTGCTGTTCCTTCTAAGAAACAGTCCCTGGGCATGAGGTGTAATGATTTGCTAGGCAGCTGCAGGCTGGTGGATTCTATTCACAGCTTTGTGAGAGGGTAATGGCAGTAAACTGTCAAGATGAAGACTTGGTTGCTATTTCCAGCTCTGTGAAAAATTACCTTGTGAAAGCTTTGTTATGCGATTTGTAAAATGCAATATGTGATGGTTGAGTGGCTTCTCAGATGATGAGAATTACTTAGAAACGAGGGCTGTAAAGGGCACATAAATATAAGCAGCTGTGGTGTAATAGGTAAGATTTCATCTCTGAGTCTCCAGACTTCCCATTCACTACGTGTTTCCGTTTAGGAAAGTGGATTTCAGTGGATTTTTCACTTCCTCTTCTTATTGAGGTGCTGGAGTGGGTGCAGAGTAGAGCAACAAGGCTGGTGAAGGGCCTGAAGTAAAAGTGCCATGAGGAGAGGCTGAGGGAGCTGGGGGTGTTCAGCCTGGAGAAGAGGAGGCTCAGGGGAGACCTCATCACCCTCTGCAACTCCCTGACAGGAGGTTGGAGTCAGGTGGGGGTTGGTCTCTTCTCCCAGGCAACCAGCAGCAGGACAAGAGGGCACAGACTCAAGCTCTGCCAGGGGAGGGTTAGGTTGGAGATTAGGAAGAGTTTTTTTGTGGAGAGAGGGATGAGGCATTGGAATGTGCTGCCCAGGGAGGTGGTGGATTCACCATCCCTGGAGGTTTTCAAGATGAGACTGGATGTGGCACTTAGTGCCGTGGTCTAGTAATCACAGTAAGGTTGGACTTGATGATTTTGGAGGTCTTTTCCAACCTGGTTTACTCTATGATTCTTATCCTGGCAGACATATTCATCTAGAAAGTTGTGTGCAAAAGAGTCACTGCTAGGGAAAGTTTATTTCCTTTCTTTGCTCCCCAGTGTGTTGGAGATGAAACCAGAAATAGTTATTTCTCCATACTTGGTAGTTACACAAACATTCCCTCCTAATTAATCTTCTTGCTGTTGGGAAATGAACTGAGCACCTCCTTTACCTGAGCTTTTCAAACCAATAAATGTTTTTTGGAAAAAAAAACCTCTTCCTGAAAACTATCTGCTTTGGGGATATTGCATGTGTAACTTACTGGAGTTGTAATTGAACAAAACATCTTTTACAGATGAAAAAGTTGTGAGAACTGTTATAATATCAAGTCACTGATAATGCAGAGTATTTGTACTATGCTTGGAATATACTTGACTTCTTCTCAGATAGACACCTGAAATGAGAATTTTAACTTTAAGTGTTGCATATCTATTTTTAATAGAAATCCTAATAATGAAAATTAAATATTTGCATGCTAACCTAAGTTAACCTCAAATTATCCTATATCCATCAGTCAGCACCAAATCCAAAGAGGAGAAAAACTGACTCACATTACCTTTAGACTAAATTAAGTCATTTCCTAACTAAATGAATCTGTTTTGGTTCAGTCCATTAATCAGCAGTGCCAGTTAGAAGACCATCTTGCTATACTTTGCAGGTATTATTCCCTCCTAATATGTACTCAATGAGATACTCAGGGCAGTAAATGCTGTTGGTGATGAACAGAATGTTATATTTAACATATTACAGGACAGGATGCAGTGATTAATTGTTGCTGCATGATTGAGTTGTTCTGTGTCTGGGATCATGCATATAACAGCAGATGGTGCTGATGGGGGAAGATGAGGGGCCAGGACTCCTGCACCATCTCAGTAAATGTGCCTGAATTATTCAGTTTAATCTTCAGGGACTGAATGAGACGTGTTTCCATCTATGCTGTGGACACAGCTTAATTCTTCCTGTCTGGCACAGGTGCCTTTTCTTTATTCATATGCCCTTAGGTTACATACAGCACTGCTTAGCAAATGAGTTTGCATGAGCCTGGAAAAGCCCAAGTGCCACCTGCCACAAAGATAAATAGAACTGGTGAAATACAGGTTTATGGAAATGCACCAGAGACACAGAAGTTTGCTCTGGAGAGAGCACCAGGTTGTGGGAGTTCTGAAAGGCAAACTTCAGCCAGGGCTGAGCAATCAAACCACCTCAATCCTCAAATCACCTTTGTGCTGACTTGGAAGCTGAGTCTGTCCTTTCTGCTGATGTGTGTATGTGTTGCTGCAGGCTCAGGAGTCACAGTATTGTTTAGGTTGGAAAAGACCTCTAAGAACATCAAGTACAACCATAAACCTAACACTGCCAAGGCCACCACTAAACCATGTCCCCAAGTGCCTCATCTACACATCTTTTAAATCTCTTCAAGGATGGTGACTCCACCACTTCCCTGGGCAGCTACTCCAGTGCTTGATACCCCTTTCTGTGAAGAAGGGAAGCTTCAGTTTGCTGAGATCTAGTGAGATGCAGTAATTGAAGGATCTGTCAATACTTTTTAAACATACTTCCCCCCCCAAATCCTCACCTCTCCCATCCCCATCAGTGTCAGTGATGACACTGAATTGCACACTGTGGGTTGCACCTGGTATCTGCTGGTTTGGGCTTTCTTTTGCCAAAGGATGTCACACTATCCAGCAATGAAATAAATACAACAATATTACTGAAATTATTTCAGCCTCTGAAGTGAATGCAATTGTTTTCCATCTCTTTTAATTTACATGTCATATCATGTAACCTTGTGTTATTTTAAACAAGGCCAAGGTAGTCCATGTGTTGCTGGATGGGCAGAACATCTCCCCACCCGAGGGGTTTCTCCTCCGCAAGGGACCAGGCAACTGCCACTTTGACTTTGCCCAAGAAATTCTCTTTCTTGACTATCTGCAGCCCCAGCCAACAAATAAAGTACAAAGGAGGTAAAGTAGGACATTTTTGTTATCTGAACCACATGGTTTCTCTTAACTGTCGCAGTGTTCTTTCCTGTTCTCTGTCAAAGCCAATTGCCTGAGGCACCTGAATGAAAATATGGAGCACTGAGAGCAAAGTGTATCATTGAGTTTTAACTCTCAACTCTTAACCAGATTGTACTGAGATCAGAGGACAGTCTAGTCCATAACCACAGGGAGAAGGGTTGGGAGTGGTGTTTGTAGAGGCTTAGTCCTTTGGGTTTGCTCTGTTCTGTTTTGAGTGAACCAAGGGTATGAAAAGAAATTATTTTGTCCTGTTTTTTTGTGGCAGGACTGGATCAAGGATAATGGAACAAGCTAGTATGGACTATGAAGCACCATTGATGCCATGTGGTTGTATCCTTCTCTGTCATTTTCTTACTGGTCACATAGAATATTTTAGAGTTATATGCTATAGTTATGCGTCCTGTGCTTTTTGAATCCAATAATTTCTGGTGCTTTAAGACATTTACAAGGTACCAGGAATATGAGAGAGACTTCCATTAACTATGAATTAAGGAGAAATAAATGGAACGTAATATATGGGTGTGTGACCTGTTTTCAGATGCTCTGGTAGCTTTTTCTCCTGAACTGCAAATGAGTTTCTGACATTGAGATGTGGGCTGCACAACAATTTTTCCAACTGCAGATTAATATTCTCTAAGGACAAAATATCAGTCTAAAAATTTTCCTTAATAGCATTTTGCTTTTTAGTTGTTTTCCAGTTTCAGCTCCTGACAACTTGGGGTGATCCATACTACATTGGTTTGAATGGACTTGAGTTGTTCAATGAACATGGAGACCAAATCTTGCTGACTGAAAACAGTATCCTTTATACACCAAGTGCCTCTGTCCCTTTCCATGCACAGTTTGCTCCTTGTAGAGTTATCACATTGCTACTTCTTCCAGATTACCAGTTTACCTTGTGTGACTATTACTCTGCTTCTATTTCTCTATATTTGCATGGTGAATCATGTTTCTATATGTTTTAAGTATGCTCTGTACCTTCAGAGCATTTCTTCTCTGAATGGAATGCACCAACAAAGCAGGGCAAGGTTAAAGAAGGGAAGAGTGAAGAGGGACATGGTATTTTTTTGCTGTTGACGTTTATTTCTTCTGTGGAAGGACCAAAATGTTTGCTGAGCTATAAATTCATAAGGAGAGGTTGGGCTTGGTGCTTTGTTATGGAATCTTTGATTGTGCCTCAAGGAAGAAATTTTTCATAGCTCTTGTTCTGGAGATTGAGACTGTTCTAGACACCTGATCCAGTTGTGAAGCTCAGGACTGAGAGCTTGAATTTGAGTCAGTGTTCCCTGGATAACCAATGGAGGGATGAGGGGCATGTGTAAAAGATGGACAATCATCAAGGTTACACTTCTGTTCTCTCATCAGCTAAACTCTCTTGAGAGCTGAGAGCTTCATCCTCCAACATACAACTCGCATAGTTCAATTACATGGAAGAAACATTTCTTAGCCAACCAGAAAGAAGAAATAGCATGAATGTTGCATGGCTTGTGTGTCTCTAAGGATCCTCAGCCCTGACAAATAGGGGGTACAATGAGAAAGATAAGAAAAGCTTTTTTTCCCAAGTTCTATTTTTACCTATATCCTGTATGATGCATGAGGAACATGAAACATCTGTAATGGAGAAGCATTTTGAAATTGGAAAGTGGTAACAGATTGTTGTTAGAACAAGGGATCTTTAACTTGGTTATAGCTTCACAGTGCAGGTGAGCAAACCTCAGCTTGTTTTGAATAATCACCTGTTCCTGCCTTACAGTAGTGTTGCTTGGCTGTGTTAGGATCCTAAAAAGAGCACATTTGTCTTAGTGCAGTACTTACTGTGATAATTCAGTACTGAGTCCAAGCTTTTCTTAAAGCACTTGAGGCATTGCTGTGTGATTCCTTAAATTCTTTTCAAGTACTCACAAGCTCAGGCCTTTTAGAAAGCAGGACAGGGAGAAATTAATGTCCCTCAAACTGCCCAGGATGGATAACTGTGAAGACAGTGCCTTTCTTTGCATGTCTTTAACACACACATCTTGAACACAAATATTCTCTTACAGAGCAAATCTCGCTGCCTGTTCAAAGGGGGGTTTAATTTTTCTGTCTCTAAGAACTGAAAAAAGGTTTTTTTAGATAGTTACTGATTTTTCCCACAAGCCTTGAGGAACTCAAGCCAAACTTAGTCTGACTGATGACTACCTCCAGCAAGGATACTTTTCTTGAGATAAGTTTTACATGAGGAGTTTTCACAAGTTTATGATAAAAAAATGGAGTTTTGTCACCACAAAGCTGGGAAGTGCCTAGTCCTGGTACCAGAACTTTAAGTATTTATGACATCTTCAATATTTGAAAAGAAATTAAGTTCAGCTAGTTAATTTATTCCAATTTTAAAGCTAAATTTGAATGCCAGAATCTGCTTTTACAAGGTGCCTCTGTACAGCACTCAGTGCACTGTGCAGTGGTGAATACTCAGGCAGGAACTCTGGAAGATCAAGCACAAGCTTTTAAATATGATGCTTCTGAAATGTCCTTTTTTGGTTATTTATGCTTAAATGGTTTTGTTCAGACATTGCTGCTTTTCCAGATAGTGTCAACGTTTTGGAAGATGTGTCTGGAGACATCCGAACTCCAGACAAGCTGATTGACAGGGTGAACGACACGACTGATGGCAGACACATGTGGCTTGCACCAGTTCTTCCTGGCTTGGTATGTTTTCCCTTTTCATTCCCATTTACTGCTGGGTGTGGATGTAGCTGGAGGCACAGAGGGAAGGGGAAGGATCCAGAATTTTGAGGCAAATTTGATGTTGGCAATCAATGTTAAATCATTCCTTTTTAGGAGTTCTTTTGGTTCCAGTTTCTCTTTGCTGCACAGGCAGCAGCAATGTTGGTTTCCCAGGTTTGTAATCTCCTGTCTCCTCAGTGCAACAGCAGAAGAATTTTGGGGTTTGATCGCTGTGATAAAGATACCGACAAAGGAGTTTAATCTGTGTTTTGTGCCATTAACACCTTTCAGACGAGGCAAACTGGGATTTTAAAGTCACTTCTACAAAATGCAGTGAACGTTGTTCCAGCAGTGAGAATTTTTTAAATCTCATTATCTGTGTTGAATTCAAATTCATAGATTAGGGATGACAGACTTAGTGTTTCATGTCCTAAGGCCTCAAGTGATTCAGCCCTCTTAGAAGTCCCATGTTTAAATATGGGATGTCAAACGTCTAAACAGGAAAAGTAGATAAACTTAGATGAGTTCTGACCTTGTTTGGGGAGAGGACGTTTTTTATGGGCCTGTTATGGATGTCATTGAGGTGTGTTTATTTCTTAGAAGAGGATGGATTTAAAAGGAAAGCAAAACGTAAACCTGATGTGATGTATTAGAGCCTACTGTGTTGGAAAAATCCTTACTCCATATGTTACAGTTATGCATTAGAATATGAAAAGCAAGAAACCAAGTCATTTTGTATCATTCTAAGTTGTTATGCAGTGGGTCTAATCAAGACAAAGCTTTTAAATATATTTGGGAACAGTGACCTCTTGCATTTCTTTGGAAAGTGGAAGGTTTGTGTAATGCTTGAGGCTCCTGCCGTGTAGATCCTACATCCTGAGTCCTGGTCACTTGATGGGATGCTCAGATGTCCATCATAATGTGATGAAGGAATGATTTGACAACCATCTGAGTTTGCTCATGTCCTTACAAAAGACACTCAAAGGCTGTTTCATTTGGGCAAAAGGGACAGTAACAGTCCCTGGAGTTGTAGCAGAGATGCAGGCACTACTCTGTGTTGTTCTGTCTGACAACAAAGTACTGGAGAAGAGCATAAAATCCCAGTATTAAGGGGTAAATCGATAATGTGTGAAATGCAGGAGGCAGAAGCAATTTAATGGCACTTTCTGTTCCTGAACTGTAGCAAATTATACCTCCTTAAGATTCACAGAGTACTTTCCTCTTCTCCATCTTCCCTGGTATGGTTGTTCAGCCAGGAAGTGCAACTGGATTAAGCAATCAGCCTATTCATGCTCATCCTCTGTAGCTGAG